TTAATGGGGCATTGGCTTTAAGCGTCACATGTCTATCAACAACATTCTCTCAAGTGGTATAACAACTCCTTAGGTTTCTATTTGAGGGATAATCGTTCGACACGACGTTCGGGTTTTACAAAGGGAATTGCTAATATTTAAGTGATTCTCTCCATGAGTTGAGAATAATGAGAATGGCTGGTACTGGGAAGAATGGGTTGGATTGGGAATGGCTGACTTCGATCAAACGAAATTGATAGAACAAGGTTTGCTTTGATAGTTAGAGGTGAATGTGCTTTCAAGGATAAAGTCCAAAATGCTCAAAATGCCGGATTAGAGAGATGCATCATGCACCGTTTGTTTTGTTTGTAGGAGTGAGGGGTAGAATATATAGAGAATGGTAAAACGGGAAAGTAGAGTATTGACTTTTGTATATATATATTTTTAATGCTCTTAGCACATTCAATGTATTTTCTTCTATGTATTGAATGAATGAGACATGCAAACTTAGAAACTCTGTATTCAACTACAAAACCTTTGAATCCTAGAGTAATAAATTTTGTTTTTGTTTTTGTTTTTGTAGACCCAACATACAGTTAATATCACATCACGAGCTTAAATTTAAAGCTGACAGACACATGGTGATGGTTCGTCTCTTTTAAAACCTCATGCAAAAACAAATACAAGGACAACAACTTTCATGATTTCTTCAACTCATCTCTTACCAAGCACATGCGCACCCTTGCTTTTATTTTTTTTACTTGGAAATCCATTTTTCACTTGGAATGGAAAAGCATCGAAGAGTAGGTGAGGTGAGTGGTTGGTTGCTATAAAAATGAATAACCGCATGCTCAATTTTAAAAAGTTGATACGTATGGTTGCTTATACGTCACATCAGTACATCAAGTAAGCTAGCATGATTGTTGTTGTTGCTCGCTCGCTGCGGGCTTGTACTTGAGATTAATTCCTACTAAGGTTAAAATGTTGAACGGTAAAGGTTGGCATGCCATAGATAAGAGTCTTGTCTTGTCCCATAATTTGTTGGAATGTGACACAAACATACGCATGCAGTTGGAAACTAGACTAGTTTAATTAATTAGATCCAGGTCAAGGGCTGACGCCTTACGCTGCAGAAAAACTTACTTGTAATGAGTGTATCACTATTTTGTTATTTTCGATAAATAATACAATGACACGTGAAAAAATTATCCTACGTATCATTGCGTTATTGGTCAAGAATAGTAAAACAATGTTATCCGTGTTTCATGAGAGTATTTCCCCTTATATTGAGGGTTGTGTGTGTCCTGTTTGGCAAGGAAGAAAAGATAAGTACGTGGAAAATAGCAACATGCAACGCAAAATAGCCAAGGGAAGAATGAAGAAAATATCCATCCAAATTTCTCATATATTCAGAGGTAACATATGACAGTCTGTAAGCTTGATACAAATGTTTTACATCCCATGAGGGCAAAACTTAGCCATGCTAGTTTTCCACTCTATGTTAGAATCAATTGTAGAGCAAGTTACACAACACCTTAAATTGTTATTGGATTCTGCATCCCCCTGAATTTGGTGCATGACGAACATTGCCATAGGCTGACAGTTCAATAAGATCCATGTCACGACCTGCATTTCAAAGGAATACGCCGTCACTAATTTGCTACTAAATTAGTTGAATTCATTCCTGCAAGGATTTCCACATGTATTGCGGTTTCTTGGGATTACCTGAAACCCGACAGTAGGAACTTTTCTGAATGAGCTCAGCTCTAGAAAACTCAGTCCGGTTTCCTTTTGATCGATTGACCGTCGCCTACAGTATGTGAGAGAAAATATTCTTTTATGAAGAAAAGTAAGATGTATCTTCTACAATTATAAGCAAACAGCGGGACTATATTCTTTAGGTCAGCATACAGAAACTAGACAGGCAAGGTGAACTTCAGTTTCAATAATGATTTGGCTGCAAATGAAGAGTACGTGCTTCATCAAAAGGAAATGACATGAAGATGAGCAGCCTTAGCTGAGAATTAAGTGGAGCCATATGCATTTTGGCAGCCTTTAAAGGCCATGATATATGGCATACGAATGCACTGCATGCTTACATATATGGCATACGAATGCACTGCATGCTTACATATATGGCATACGAATGCACTGCATGCTTACATATACTGGTGGTTTGGTTTATCTGGCTGGAGATTATAACCAAAAATAAGATACAACATTCATGTAATAATCCAAATTCATGTAATAATCCAAGGTCATGAAGAGGAATGAAGTTCATACCTGTAAAACTTGACAGTTATCAAGCGTACTTTGTCCTCCCTGAAATGTGAAAGATAAAACAATCAAGCCTCCAAAAACAATACAGGGGCCTGGGCCTGGGGGAAACAAAATAAATAAATAAATGTTCAGCAGTCAAGATCATTATATTGGATTGGGATGACACATAAGCCCACTTCCTGAACTCCTTTTTGGTTTACTGTTCCTCTCCAAGCAAAATCAGCACAATAGGCATGACAAAACACGTTCAAGTTGGTTATTAAACTTTGTCACATATCTGCCACAACATGCCTAGCAGAATGAGCTTCTTCCTAAAACATGCTAAGTCATGCTAAGTAGCTCTCCTCTTTGGAAACTGATGCCTTGGCCAGTGCATATTATATCCAGGCTTATGTTTCCAGTGCCCTATCAATCCAGTCATTTGGATTTACCTGAGCCTAACATGTGCCAAATTGGTAAACAATTCACAGGATCATCAAACCTGTATTACAGTCAAGTATACATCCTCAGACAAAAGGTATTGTACCTCACGGTTGCTGGAAGGCCTAGACAGTCCTTTACCCATATCTGTATCACCATGATTAACCATATTCTATCAGAATCTGGTTTAAATTAAAAAAAATCCCACAACACTATTGCATGCCATCTCCAAGCTTCCATTCTCTAGGTCTATGGTCACAATCAAATATGGCATTTGCCACCTCATTGTAGTCCCGACCAATTAACTGCTATAACAAAACTCTAGTTTACCTTCTATGCCTTTTGCACCATAGTTAAGCTGAGTTCTTTACCTAATCTTATCCTAATGTCTCTCACCTCCAGTAAAAATGTGTTTATGTTGTATGCAAGTTCATATTTAGGCTATTTGAAGCAAATCCCTGAATTTCCAACCAATAAATCAGCCATAAAGTCCACACACAACTACTGGTTTCACATAACCATGCTTGATGATGGCAACTAACATTATAAACAATACAACATAGCGAAAAAAGAACTCAGCTTTTAAGCATTACTAGATGGATGGAATTCAACAACACAAGCATTTCCAAAAGTGCATCTCTTTTTATTCAGAATGCTACCAACAGAAATAATCCGATTCCATGGGAAAGTCACCAAACAAAAAAGGAAAGATATATATCAAATGCATCCTAAACGGAGCCTTAATAGCCAAAACCATTATGAACCAACTTCACAAAACTCCAAGCACAAATCAAAGAATCAAGGCCAACAAACAGAAACGCACAAAAAATCATAAAAATGGTGAATTTGAGAGAGAACGAGGAATTACCTTAGAGTAGGGCACGATGTGATCATAATCATGACAGAGGCAACCTGGGCAACCGACGAGCTTCCGGAACACGGTGTTTCCAAGAGAGTCTCGACGCCACCGGTCTGGGTCTCGACCTCTGATCTTCTCGGCCTTTTCCCAGCATTGCTGCTTCACATTGTATGGAAAGATTCGTGGGTTGGTGTTAGAAGAAGTCGCGAGCTCTTGAAGCTCTTCCAAGTCCCGCTTGAGAAGAGAGACCGGCGATGTGAGCCGGGAGGCGCGAGACTGGGGCGAGGTGCTTCGTTCGAAGCCGGAGGAGGGCGCTGTTGTTCGGTCCCTGAGCGGAGACGAAGGGCGGCTCCGCCTCTTTGGTTCTTTGCTTGGTCTCATCTTTTCTCTTCAGCTCATCACACGCTCTCTCTCGCTCGGCCAATCGAATGGTAGAATGGATATCTGGTTCTGGAGACGAATTTTGGATCGTCGGATGTAGAAAGGATAAGAAAATATAGTGAAAAGGCAATAGTACCCTCAATCCCCGAGAATAGAAGCAAGCAACCCCTTCTCCTCTGCTGCAAGTGCAAACGTCACACGCCATGTCTCTTGTAAGCGCCTGTCTTTTTCTAAAGCAGCAATCTTTCGCTCTATAATTCTCTCTTGATCCCTCCAAATGTGCTATGGTTTTCTGGGGCATGGTTGGGATTCAATTTCATGCTTAAACATCCATACTTTTTTCAGTCTTAACAGCTCTCTTTTTGGTTGGTGGCAGAGAAATCCAATGGAAACAAAAACAATCTTTTTGACCCATAAATTAGTCATCTACTCTGAAGTGTTACCAAGTTTCAAGTTTCAATCTTTCAAGTGTTACTAAGTTTATTGCTTTGATCTGTCATGAAGTACTTTTTATTGCTTTCATGTGAGAGTCGTGAATGGTTGTTGTGATTTCCAGACCATCTGTGTCGTGTTGGATAGTTTGTGCAGAAAGATATGATTTTGATTTTGATTTCTCAACACTTGTTACAGAAACTGAGTTGGACTAGGAACACTGACGATTGTGATACACATGGATACTAAGGAAGGGTAATAAAATGTGAAGAAATTAGTAACACGTGAGAGGCACGAATTCCCTATAAAATATGCCTTTCGCTTGTTTTCTTGAGTCTTCCCTGGGCAGAAGACTTGGAGATTAATGAATAGTTTTGCTTTCACACTGAAACTTCGCTGCAATTTGACTCTCACTTTCTATATACATATGAGACACATGACCTGGAAATTTCCATGTGATGACGACGGTGATGCTGAATAAATTAACAAAGCGGACGAAGTAAGTCACCAACTCTTTTGATGGAAACAAGGATGGCATTGGATTGAATTTTCCTCATCTTTTACACAATGACTTGGCAGGAACTCTCATAGCTGCTACTTCTATATATTATAAACCGAAGTGTGGTTTCCACTCACAAGTCTCAAGACTCTTAACCTCCTAATTAAACAATATTAAGCACTCTCTCTGCTCTCTTTTTTTTTTGGTCGAACTCTCTCTGCTCTCTAGCTACTTTGTTTTTGTGTTTTTTTTTTCGCACCAAAGATGGAGAAAACAGTGAGTGAAGCATTTGGCTACCAAGCCATTTCAGTTGTACTCTTACTCCTTATCATTCTTAACTTGCTCCTTATCCTACACATGCCCTCCAGTTTCTGGTATGTGCCCTTGTTTATATGCTTCCTTTGTGATGTGTTGCAAATTATTGTTTGGTCGGAGAGCTTCAAGTGCAAGACAATCCAAAAAAGAAGTTGCATTGCCAGGAAACAAGAAGTTAATTGCCTTCATGAAAATGGAAGCGTTGTAGATGACAAGAAACAGCTGTCTACAGGAGAACTTGGACAGATAATGGAGAAACTGGGAACATTACTTGATGCAGATGGTGGAGAAGTAGTTGAGGGGAGACTTGGGTCAAAGGAGATTGCTGACTTGTTGGAGGAGGAACCAAGCCTGGAGGAAGTAAAAGAAGCTTTTCATGTGTTTGATGAGAATAAGGACGGGTTCATTGATGCAGGGGAGATAAACAAGGTTCTCTGTGCGTTGGGTTTTGTTGGAGCTTCAGAAGTGGAATGCAAAAGAATGATCAAAGCCTTCGATCGTGACGGAGATGGACGAATAGATTTCAATGAATTTGTTCAACTCATGGAGAACAGCTTCTGCTGAGCACAGCATAAAATCCTCAACTATAGACCAGAGAAATATCTCTTCTATTATATTACCACCCTTTCTTTCTTTCTTTCTTTCTTCCTTTTTTCTTTCCCCTTCTGCTTTCAATGTTTCGAAATCAACTAGACTAATTCTGTCACGACCCTGCAAACATTTGAAAACTGGTGAAATTGTAAACAAGTATATCTTTCCAAAAGATAAAGGGCAGGGCTTTAAGTTGCAACTGTTAAGAAGTTTCGAAAGCGTTGACCAAGAAAGATAAAGCCATCAAATGTCAATAAGTTTACAACAAAATAAATAAAATTAGGGTCAACTTGCTCAGAAAGCAAACTGATATATGTTATCATAAATCAGTTAATATGAGAGACAACTACGTACTTTCTAATTGAAGGGCTTAGTACCAAGCTTCTTACACTAATTTCGCCATCGTTCTGAGAATTTTATCATCTGCATCTTTTCAGAAAATATTTATAAGCCTATAAACATAACACAATCAAAAGATAGATAGCTTAACAATAAGGGCATGTTTACTAATCTAGAATCAGGATAAAGAGGAATCGGAGTATTTAGAAATCGGGTTAACATAACACAAAAAGTTTGCTTAACATGACACAATAAGTCTGCATCTCTCTCTGCTGTTCTATACTGCTAAACCACATTTCAGTTTTATGAGTAATATTACTTGCAGAAACAAAAAACTTAAAGCCCTGCCCTTGATTATAATATTCCAAGGCACAAGGAGTTGAGTACAAGCATTAAACTTAACATTGTTTTATACAATCACCAAGTTAAGAAAGGGGATTTTTTTTTTTTTTTAAAGTTTTTCTATTTAAACCCCACACTTCTCTTTGTTCACCCCTTATTCTAAGTTCACCACAACTTCTAATTCAAAATTTCACAATTTCTAAAAAAATCTCACTTTCTTCCCAAACTACCTTTAAATACACACCTAGCAGAAAAAATAAAAATAAAAAACTCATCAACAACCTCACACCCCACAGCCCCACTATCTTGCCCCTCACTACTCTAAATTCACCTCAACCTCACATGGTAAAAACAATGTTGTCAAATGTGTAACAACATTATTTTATTATTATTATTAGGCAAACTTGTAGCAATGGTCCCTGGACTAAGCCCCAACTTTACTTTTCGTCCCTCACATTGCTAAATTGTTACTGTGGTACTTTAATTATGCCTCATATTTCAGAAACAGTCATTGCCATCATCTCTGTCAATTTTTCCATTTAATTTAAGGGCATATTTGTCTTTTCAAGTGGTGGATTCAACATAGGCATGTCCATATCAGCAACCTCTCAAATTTATGGCACTAAACCCTAATGTCATGTCAGCCATTTCTATCAATATTAAGGCATCTGGCAAAAAAACAAAATTACAGAAAGAGAGGAGAAAAAGCAGATGTCGCAGAGTTCTTGGAGCCGTAACACATGGAAGCCTTGCAATTGTGGGGGAGCTATTAAAAGACGGACTTCCTTGACTGATTCCAATCCTATGAGAAGATTTGAGGCTTGTGAGAATAATCGGGTAAGTCACTTTGTCTGGAATTTTTTGTTTTTTGGTCCATAGGTTTTAGATCTAACCCTGGATATGGAAAATTCTTCAGAAGAACAGAGGCAAAGGTCTTTATTGGGAGTGAGTGGACGAAGAGATATGCCCATGAGGAAAAAATTAGGGTTGTACTATACAATATATATATATATATATATATATATACTAGTTCCTTGGCACAGGAGTGATTTTATTATTATTATTATCATTTAGTATTAAGAAAAGAGAACATGGGTAATTATTATCTGATTTCATTTTTTATTTTAATTTTTTTAATATAAAAATGTGAATTTACCATATTATCATCATTTAATTAATAATTCAATTCTTAATGTTTGAATTAACAAAGGGCATTTTCTGGTATTTTGAATGTTTCACCATTCTCTGCCTTTCGTTTTATATATATAGATATAAAATTATAAATAAAATCAGATAATAAGTCATACTTTTATGGAACATAACTATGTTATCTTTTATTAATTCTAAAAATAAAAAAAATAAAAAAAATAAAACCAATTGGCACATGAAAATAAAATAAAAAAATAAAAAATAAAACCAATTGGCTAGTATATAGATAAGTCCATGTGTTAATATATTAATTTAGAAGAAAAAAAAAGGGTAAGTAAAATAAAGCTACAGCCGGCTGGATTTAGAAAAGGCAATAAAGATATTAATTCTTCTTGCCTTGAGTTTATTACAATAAAGGTAAGAAAAAAAAAGACAGAAACTTGCGGTTTTTTAAATCAAAACACTCCACATGAAACGACGTCGTTTCATTTAGATTTTTTTTTTATAAAAACACTGCAATCGAAACGACGTCGTTTCATTACAATAAACCTAAAAAGAAAACACGCCAGTCGTCTTCCTCGCAGAGTCGCAGCCAATTTGCATACCCGCAAAATTTCTTCAGGTTCAGAAGTGTCCAGATCTGGCACGCCTCGCTCCGCCTGGCCACGCCTTGCAACACCTCCTTACGCCTTACCCGCGCTAAACGTGCAACTCGTGCCTTTAAAAACACTGGTTTCAATGACTATTCCTCTAACAAGGAACTTTGGGCTTCCATTCATGAACCTTATCAGATTAAAAGGAATTCCTATCCTGCAGCAGCTTCATTTAGAGGAGCAATTGCTTCGAACCTCGTCTGATAATTGGTGCATTATGAATGATGGAACAAAGGATCCTACTATTGTAATGGGTATTTCAGGGTAAGATGACTGACTAAGCTAATAGGTTGTACGTATTTCTTGGTCAATATTGAGTAATTTTCCGAATGATATGATAGTTTTCAATTGTTGTGTAGCATGTGTTGAGTATGTAGCACTGACAGAGTATTCTGGTTTTTCCATTCTCTTGGTTGTGGCTCTGTCTATTTATTTATCTATTTTTTGCATTGGAGATTGTAAAGGGTTCCGTTTATGTTCTGCATAGAAAACCTGCAGAGCTTCTTGAACTTGATTTGGTGTTACGAGATCAGATTCCTGTCATTAGAAGGTTTACCGGAGGTGGTACTGTTACTGTTGATCACAACACCGTCTTTGTTACTTTCATATGCAACGCGGATGCGGTTGCTGGCCTGCAACCATATCCTCGACCTATAATGTCCTGGAGTAGCCTTTTATACAGCAGAGTGTTTGAAGGGCGTGGTGATTTTCAACTTCGTGAAAATGGTACCTGAATGAACCTTGTGTGACATTATATTCTACTATGGTGTCTGTTGTGCTCGGATGCATGCCCTAACAGCATACTTGGTCCCATCTGATTTTAGATTATGTATTTGGTAACCGCAAGTTTGGTGGGAATGCTCAATCTATTACTAAAACCCGGTGGATCCACCACACTTCCTTTCTATGGGACTATGAGGTTAGGAACATGGCATACCTCAGACTTCCAAAACGAATTCCTGAGTATCGATTGGTATGCTATTGACTTCGGGGTACTCTTTTAAGTTTTATGTGGTTCAACCTGTGAATTTCACAGCTTCTATAGTCTATTAGTGGATTACTTGTTATCAAGGCATATAGTTTGATGCCTGTGCTATCTATTTCCTTTGCAGGCAAGGGACCATTTGGAATTCATATGCTGCCTCAAGGACTACATCCCGAGATCGGTTTTTCTTGACAAAACTGTGGATGCACTTGGAACCCAATTTTCCGTGAGATCCGAGCAGTTGGATGCCTTTGAAGCTACCTCAAACATAAACTTTGTACCCTCAACTAGGCTGTTGACAAGGCAGGAATTGGAGGAAGCGGCTTTTGGCTCTCATGCTGAGAGCACTCTCTCTCAATCATTGTCATTGTAATGAATGTTATAATTTTTTTTGTAAGTCCAATTTTGTCAATGAATGTTATAATTTTTTTGGATAATCAATAAAATGTAAGTCCAATTTGAACATGATTATAGTAACCAACCTCTACAAAGAGAAAGGAAGACTAATTCCTATATTATAATATTTTTTTATTGCGCCTATTATATAATTTTTTGTCCCCCCCCCCCCCCCCCCCCCCCCCCCCCCAAAAAAACCATGTTAACCGCAAATAAAGCCATGTAGGCTTTCTTGGTGGAGAAGCTCCTCACGATCCCAGCCCAAGAATTTTTTTTGTTCCTTTTGTCTTCGGTGTAAAAACCCCATGCCCATTGTCCAATACTGCAAACTCACAAAGCGCACCGTTCATTACTCCTCTCTCTCTCTCTCTCTCTCTCTCTCTCTCTCTCTCTCTCTCACACACTCTGTTTCTCTTCCTGCGCAGTAATTTTCTGCTGGTTGGTTCTGCTCATTTTAACGACCGAAATCACAGCTTGACCCGTCGTGTGCAAATCTGTAAGCTTCAATCGTACAGCCATTTCTTTCCCTCCATCCTTCTTTGCTATTACTCGTTCTGGGTTGGTTCCCCTGTTTGCCTTATTGAATTGCCGTTTTCCCGTATTCATATAAATATATAGATTTTGTTTTCTTTCTTCGTTGATATTTCTCATTTGAGTCCTACTCTTTTGCTGGTGTTTGTAAAGATTTTGTTTTTCTTTCATTTTATATCAACTTTCAAAAGTTGTTCAATTCTTTTTCATGTTTTCCTAAGTGGGCGTTGTAGAATTTTGTTTTTCTTCGTTCAGGTGATTATTTCCCTTCTGGGATTTAAGGCTTCGTTCATATTCGTAGGATTGTCTGCTTTTATGATAAATAGGCTCTGTTTTTCTGCAGAAAAATTAAAAAGAAGGTGGCCGACATTAATCAGTGCCAACCAAAACTGGATGGTTATTTTCATTTCCCAGTCTGTATTTGTAGGCAGCTTCAATCAATCTTCTTTGTTCATTATCGGGGTAAATTTTTTAATTTTGAACTTTTAAATATGTGCTTGTCAAGTTCCGGTGCGTGGGATGAAGGCTTCATTTGGAGAAGTGTTTTTTTTTGTGTAACTAAAGTGAGTCAAGGCGCATTTAAACAAGAAACAAGACCTGTTTTTTTCCTTCTTTTTTTTTGCTAAAGTAAGCTCTTTCATGCCATTGAGAAATTTTCACAGTTGGCGTTTCATAAAGCTTTGGCACGGTTTGCTTATTGGATTGCAGGATGGGAAGGGTGAAGTTAAAGATAAAGAAATTGGAGAGCAGCGGTAACCGGCAGGTTACGTTTTCGAAAAGGAGAAATGGAATCTTGAAGAAAGCAAAGGAGTTATCAATACTATGTGATGTAGATATTGTCCTTCTCATGTTTTCCCCGACTGGAAGGCCTACATTACTCCAAGGGGAGCGCAGGTATCGTAACCCGAAAGTTTGCAGTCATACTTTGTTTTGATGATGATGTTTTAGTGATACATTGGCATTTTGTCATGACTTTGAGGACAACCCAACATAACAAAACTAGAATCAGGCTGAAATGTGGGGTTGAGAGTTTCTCCATATCATATGTTGATATAGTTTCTTTGGTTTTTTGACTTTGTCAGTAATGTCGAAGAGATTATTTCAAAGTTTGCCCAATTAACTCCACAGGAGAGGGCAAAGAGGTAGTAAAGTACTTGCAATTAAAAAATTTCGTTCTCATTTTCTAGCTTGATTGAATTTGGAGGGCATTACAGCTAACTGCATTTCCATTTGATTGGAACAGGAAATTGGAGAGCCTTGAAGTAAGACTGTCGATAATAGCATTTCAAATGGGAACATTTTTTTTTCCTCTCTCTTGCTTTTGTTGTATTGAACAAAATGTAACTGCTGTCACTCTTGCATTTTGGTGTTCTTTTTGAGGATATAGGCACTGAAGAAAACTTTTAAGAAGTTAGACCATGATGTAAATGTACAAGAATTCATGAGTTCAAGGTATGTGATTGTGTTCATCAGATTTGTCATTTCCTTTTAGTAAAATCTGTGGGAATATTTGATGCGGCCCTTTTATAATGTTTTTTTTTCCCTTCTGTTTCTTGCAGCACTCAGACAGTTCAGGTATGTATCCTTTACTAGCATTACCAATTGTAATTTTTTTTTTTCAATTATTATTCATGACAACTAATGTTTTGTGACAAATTGCTATCGGCAGGATCTGACTACTCAAGTAAGGGTATTGCAAGCCCAACTTACAGAAATACATAAGAGACTGAGGTGCACCTTTGGAGTTTTTGGTTGTTAAAGTATTGCTTTTTTCTTTTTGGACTTGGTGGTCATCTTACTAGCATTATACCATTGTGTCTATTCTATATAAGGCCATTTCAAGGTATTAAGTTGATATTTAACCAAAGAAAGAAAGAGATCAAGTTGTTTGCGAGTTTAGGGATTTACTAACGAATTTTGGAATCAATTTGGGTCATATTTGTGACTTTCATGTTATATGTTGTGTCCTTGTTTTGAAAATTTTTGTGCCTCGGCTTCTATCAGAAATTTAACACTTTCATTCTGGCTGTTTTTTAGTACCAACCAAGATGAAGTATAAAAAATCTATGGGTGAATTGTCTTGTGTGTTCTTGGTAATATCATTTTTGTTTGGACCTGGTTTCCTTATTCAGGTTGCCACTAGAACAACTTAAATTTACAAGTGAAAAATCACAATCTATATATGAAACTATGTATTGATCAGTAAGGTATGCTATAAAGCATTCATATGATAGTTTAAGCTCTTGTCACTTTTTCAGCTTTTGGTGTAACCCAGATAAGGTTGACAATCTTGAACATCTAAGCCAGATGGAAGACATGCTTAAGGAATCAATCAACCGAACACGTCTACACAAGGTATCATTTTGTTTTTCATGTTACTGCGGAAGAAAAAATAACTACAGTTTATGGTTTCGTTTACCAAATAACTGTAAATTGATGATGAAATATGAACAGTGATAATATCATCAAATATATGGGTTTGGTTGGTTTTGGTGTCATGGTGAGTTTAGTTTAAGGTGCACGGACTCACCCGAGCCACCTTAAAAATGTTAAGCCAGAGGATGGACGCTGCTATTTTGTTTATCTGCCTTAATAGATCCTTATTAGTGATTGACTATTGAATTGATACTAATATACTGGATACTTCTCTTGTTAGGAAAATTTGGGAAAACATCAACTAACGTCACTAAATTGCTCAAGCCAGGTAATAAATGCTTTAGCTGATGAAGAATGCTCTCTCTCTCTCTCTCTCTCATGGACAAAATCTGAAGATTGACTTTTCTTGCATCGCAGTTTCAAAATGGAATGCCTTCATCTTTATTAGTGGGTGGTATGCCAGAAGCTCAACCTTTAACTTGGCTTCTCAATAATGACAATCAACACATGATATTACCCAATGAGTCGAACTATCTGCCACATAGGTTAGTCTACTGCTGTTATGCATCTACCATTGCTTCCCCCAAAGAGCCCAATGCCTGAGAACTTTCTTTCTGATAGATTACTTATGCTATGATCCTCTACTTTATACAATATAGATGATTTGATTTGTTGAAAGCATTGTTATAGCTGAACAAAATTTGTTTTCTTATTGGCTCTCTCTATAGAGATGTAGATGTGGAGTGCTCTACAAATGCCTCAGTTTCACAATATACTAGTTACTTTGGCACTGGCGCTAGTACTAGCACTGGCAAACAATCTGAGGTTGGTGATCCAGTACAACTAGATAATATGGGACAAATTCCTAATATGGAAGGAGGTGGTGGCTTGAATGAGTTTGACATAAATGCTTGTTTAAGTACAGAACCTGGCCAGCAATATGTGTATCCATCATATTGTAGTTCCAATGTGGATGATAAGACATTGAAGCCTGAGATGGAAATGAACTTACCTACAAATCCGGTGGGTTATCAAGTAAGTAGCGACTTTGAACTGCCTAGATCGATGTATGACAATGAGCATCATGCTTGGCTTTCTTCAACTGGGCCAAGCGGCATTGCTGTGTACAAGGAGAATACTTACCAGCAGGTGACCATTCTTTGATTGATTTTAATCACTCTGTTTTCCGAAGCTTAGAAGCAGGTGTCAAATATAATGAAGTGAATAACGGTCTTTGTATTTCATCATTCCATTGATGCCTTGTGGCTCTATGTTTGCTTTTGTTCTCTTGTAGCAACCAAACGTGGGATTGTAGCTGAAAAAATCATGAAAGGATTTACAGGCATCACACACCGACCAGACAATGTGAAACGGTCAGAGTTGTCCAAGAGAGGTATTGATGTCCCTTAGCCAGTTGGGGCTTAGATTGAACCTGTATATATACTGTACAAGACATATAGGATCATTGTTCATCTGTATATTAACTGTTTTGGTTCTCTCAACTCAACAAAGTTGTAACATGGTTGGGTTGGGATCCTGAATTCAGAGCATTCCACATTGTAAATTATTACTGATAGAAAATGAAATCAAAATTATATCTTGAGCTACTTTGTGATTTATATCAGCCCACTGCAACATTAGATTTCATATCAGCAATTAATTAATTAGTGTAGATGTAATGAGAAAGATAATATTAATGCCACCATGGTTCCTGTACACTGGTAAAACCTTTGTCTACTACATTGATGCTCACCATCTCACTCAAGTACCATTAAATCATTGTTACAAAATAAATGAAACATGCTTTTCCACTTCTCTTTTAACAGATCTAGTAGCCTCTTAGTGTTTGGACAATGGTGTTGTGCCATGGGTCTGAGAGGTGCTGCAAGAGGTTGTCAAATGGTCCTTTTCCAGTCACATTGTGTTGAACCACATCTCCCTGCACACACATTTCAAACAACACATTAGAGCTCATTTCAAACATACGCATTTCAAAGCCTTTTCAAGCAAAATTGAAGTGAATTTTTGAACACATACCATTGGCAATTTCCTTCTCCTTGGCCTCAAGAGTGGGTGCAAAGTTGAGGGGGTTGAAGATGCCACCTGGGTAACCCACCTCATTTGGAGGCAAGCTGTATTGCTTGAAGATGGGGTCTTGGTTCACACTTCCTGGGTTCTTGATGTCTTGCCACCGTCTGATCTCGACGTAGTGAAACAAGATGAACTCGATCACGAAAAGGGTAGATGAAGATGCAAAGTACTCAGCCTTGCCAGCATCATACCATTTAGGAACATTAAGGATCCCAATGTTTGTGAACACTTCGGGCAACAGCATCCCAACAACACCCAACATTGCCCATCTGCCATTCACGAGCTCAGCTTGGACATACCATCTGAGGTTCTCTGGGTCCTCAGCAAGTCCCAGAGGATCAAATCCATTGTCACCAGGAAGACTGGCCACAGAAAAGAAAACACATCTCAGCCAATCTATGATATTTCTCAAATTTTCAGTCTACTTGTATCACAAGGCAGAGCAAAATGAAACATTCAATGTTATATGAGTGTGAATGAGAAATTCTAAACATACCTGCCAGTGAGGTAGCCTGGTGAGGCCAAGCCTGGCAACCACTCACCCTTCTTGGCTTCAACTTTAAAAGAAGTAGCAGATGGAGAAGCCATGGGCCTAATGATAGACACTTCCCTATTTAATTTAGTAGAAGAAGACCCACTAAGGAACCTGGATTTCGAGTTGATGCATGGCCTGAAAACAGCCGCTGAGGCCTGTGTTGTGACTGTTGCCATATTTTCCCACCTGAATTTTGGTCAAGAAAATGGAGTTTCAGGTGGAGGAGGAGACTATTAGATGATGGTATGGTGCTAAATGGAAATGTAAATGTGTAATGTGCGTCCATGGCTCTTGTATATTTGATGTCAAATTGTCAATGAGAGTCTTGTGGTGGTTGTTCTTTGGTGGAACTTGATCGTTGGTTTGCAAAGATTTTTGGGGTCCAACGGTGAGGATGAATTTGAGGCTATAGATTAGCCAATGGGAACTCTTGAGCCTTATCGTTTTATCTCTAGCGTTGTATCCACAAATCTATATCTTTGTCGTTGTTGGCTTAAAATGATGTTGTAGGGTCCGCTTTTTGGCCACGTAGGAAGATTTTTTCTTTTAACAGGATATGGATATGATGATTAGAATCTCCTTCCACGTGGAATCTATGGAAACCTATAGTTGCATGACAAGTGGCTGGCTCAAACTACCTCTTAGGCTTAGCAATTGAGGTGAGTGTGTTAAATTCACAAAGAAAGTGCTCAGGCTGAGCAAAAGGTTTTGTAACGTATACTTGGCATTCAATCAATGACCATTTTTTCTCACTTTGGAGGCCAATTTCATGGTACCCCAAAACCCTGATGAGCCTCCCAACTCAAATATAGGATCCCTGTCTGGTTAAGGCAACAAGTATTGTAAACATCATTTGCCAAGTTGGGGCAACTGAAAATTGCATATTTACTTACCCCTTTGATTTGATCTAATTATTTTGGAAATGTACAATATTATTATTAGGCAACAGGGTGGGCCGGCAGTGACAGAAATTTCATCCTAAGAGAAATAGATTCTCGGCTTGTTTTAACCTCCCAAACCCATTTGCCCACGTCAAAATCCACATCTACTCAGAATTTGGGCTTTAGCCCAATACTTCATGGATATTAAAGAGAGGGGTTACAGATTCTTGGCCCAAGATCATCAATTATGACAAGTTTAGTTTTAGACTTACACGGTTACACCCATATTACATTAGAGCATCCACAACGGGTTTCTTAAACCGCCTCCTAAAATAGGGAGTTTTCTAGGAGCTCCTAAATCTGAGGAGAGAGAAATGACTCCTAATGGCTCTCTATAATTTAATACTACTTTATTTAATGAGTATTTCAAACTTTTATTTAATGTTAACTATTTTTTATTTTATTTTTTTAATATAGATAGACCAATCAAAAAAGAGTTATAACATTTATAACTCTCCAAATTATGGAGTATGGTTGGAGTTGAATTTTTTTAGAGAGCTCCTAAAATAGTTTTCTTATATTTTTAGCTAAGAAATAGAGAGCATCATTGTGGATGCTCTTAGTCTGCCTATTAGCGTGAGCCTGTAACTAAGCATGACATTAAAGTGATTAGTTGTTTGATTGAAATATTCTTAAATAAGGCATAGTGGTCCTGACTCTTGGGCTGCTCACCTTTTGTGAAGTCGCACAAGCACACCCCCTACCCTCGGGTTAGTAAGGCCCCCCAACCACAAAGGGTGGGTGCAGCAAACCAGAAAATTATATTAGTCTTAATTATGAAGCAGGAATTTCAACTTCAGATTAAATGAGAATGGTGATTAATTAAAAGAAAACATCTACACTCATAGATAGATAGATGAATGAAAATTTTGGGCAACTATTTTCACCCTCATGAAGAGAGAGGATGATTTTATTCACCAAACCATACAAGTAATTCAAAATAAAACTGCGTTACAATGAAATTAAACCAAAGCAAACTTAACCTAACAAAAAAGTGGCGGGTGGTTTATGCCCACCGCTGCCAAATCTCTCTCTCTTTCTTTGCCTGCCTTTCCCAAAAAGAAAGCAGAACAAAGCACAATGACCACATAACCCTTTAATTTTTAAATGATAAAATGGCCATCTTAAAATAATAAGCCCTTTTTTCCCATTTCGACTCTAAAACTAACTCTAGACAGTGTGTGACACCACCAACATGGCGGTTTTAGCTTGTTAAGTTTTGTGTTGTTTCAGAATTGTACGCCGCTGAATGTCTGGCCAAATGACCAGCCGGCAGGAGCAACGTTGTTGGCGACGACGGTGCGGCCGTCGCTGGTGGTGACCTTGAAGGAGAGGCTCTGGCCATTCAGATAAGAGTTGCTCTGCCAATTCTGCCCCCAGTTCCTAGACATGGTTTGCCAACCAGTTTTTGACCCTTTGATGGAAACTGCATGAACATCTCCGGCACCTCCGACGTTTGTGATCAGTATCAGATTGAAGTATGAGTGGCCGTTGATTGTGAATCTTATGCCTCCCTTCTTTATGCATGGGACCCTACAAAAAAATAGACATTGAAAAAAGAAAAGTAATCAGTCTTGGCAATTGAGGGGTAGTTTTGGAAATTTAAAAAACTAGAAAAGCTGATGATATAAAAGATAAATTAAAAGCTGATGATTTAAAAGATAAATTGAAAGCTGATGTATATTTGGGGGTGGGGGATCGAATATGGAACTTGGCATGGATTGGCAAATGCCCTTTAATCACTTTAGCTGCAAGACCCTTGCCTTATATTATATCGCCTATCCCCGTTTCATTGCCCCATTTTAAAACTTGCCATTTAAATGTGGCGAAACTAAAACCACTATAAATTATAAATTTGTTTTACTGAATTACATAAAAAACCCTGTTACTAGGGTGGAGTGAAAGGAAACATAAACATAAACATAAACAAAAATTATGACAAATAAACAAAAACAAATGAGGCATGAGACCTGAAATTCATACCTTCGGTAAGACACAGGCACAATCCCAGCTCTGTATTGAGCAATCCGCTGGAAGACTGGCTGGGCAAGATCAAAATGTTGCTGTGGAGGGTTGCACCAACCGCCTGCATTGTTGGGGAGGGCATTGTTTGGAGGGCAGAAGTTGGTGGCTGTGACGAAAATTGAGCCTGGAAGACACCATTTTGGATCACTAGCACACCTAATCTCAAAGCAAGCCCCGCAGCTTAGGCCATTGTTGAACAGGGCTGTGCTCAGAGCTGCTGTGTTGGTTCCATACCCTTGGCTATACAGGTTGCCATATCCACAAGCCCCACCTGCAGTTTGGGCATCAAAAATTAATTCATGGGTGGGTACTCAGAAAAATTACTTAACCAATTGGTTTTCAGGAGCTTTTATGCTTACCCATTGTGCCAGAGGCATCACCTCCTCCATAGAAAGTGGCATGCGCATTAACCCAGCCCCCATCAGAGCCATAAGCAGAGGAGCTCAGAGAAAGAAGAAGAAAACCAACCAAGACAAGCCTAAGAACTGCCATGTTTTGAAGCAGAGGCAGACCTTTTGGAAGTTTGAGAAAGAGAGCAAATGAAGAAAGAGAAAGAAGGGAAAGTGGAGGAGAGTGGGGGGGATAAATAGATGGTGGGAGGAGGGGAGGAGAAACAGAGCTTTGTTTGCTTAGGCAGACGTCACAGCAACTAACTGACACTAAACTTTTGAGGTGTGGGGACCTTAAACCGCCATGTGTAAGAGGTTTAGTGTATGTGTCTGAGGAACCAAAGCACACTTCTTTGAAACCACGTGGTTTTGGAACTACTCTCTGTGTGTTTGGTAACTTCTTCTGTAAAATTCATACAGATTCAACGATTGAAGTTGAAGTATTATTAAGGTTCAAGCCCCCAGACTGGTTTTGCAATTTGCATTCAAAATTGGTTAGCTACATATATCTTCCATGCCCACTAGAACCACTTAATTGTGTCTGTTATTTACTACAATTGCAGCTCAGAATCATTTTGCCAGAGTCTGCCTTTTACTCTGTTTTTTTTTAGCAGCTTCAGCCTCTTCTGCAAGATTAAAAAAATGCGCATGCATATTCAGATTGGTCCCGTGAATGTCCAGTCAAAAAGGGTAATGCGGCTATAGTTACTTTGGAAAATCTACGACCTATAAAGTTTTCCAGAATTTCTAAATTATCTTTCAATATATGTCCAAATGAATGCATGTGGAAACTACCAATAAAGTACACTAAAGTCTCTTCTTTTTACTTTTTTTTTTTTTTGGGTCAAAAGTCGGAAGGGGGAGGGGGATTTACTCATACACACTGACCACGATCAGTAGCTAGCCTACCTAGGAATGCCTAAGGCTTCAGCAGTGGCATTGAAATGTTGGTATTTATCATGGAATTTTTGGGTAGATTCAATCTGGAAAATTACATGATATCTTTAAACCGACAAACTGCCAAATCAAACATGGTAGGGCTGTTGAGTGTTGACCAATATTTTACAGGTCCTTATCTTCAAATACATTAGAAACTTTGACCCGGTTATTGTGCAAGGGGCATCATCTTCTAAACACAAAACACAGCGTTCTCACTCATGCATTCAATGTTATCGGTTTGACACTAGTGCTGCAGACACTTGGAGAGCACATGGCTGATGGGAAAACGTTTCCTTTTCTTTACTTCTTGTTTTTGGTAACGTGGGTGATGAAATGTTGATGATGATAAGCAGGCTCAGTCTGTTACAACAGGAGACAGGAGGAGGAGGAAGGGGGAGGAGGAGTAGGGCCAGGTGAGAAAACTCCACAACAACTCAACGTCTCATTTATTATAAAATAATTTCATTCAATTTATTGCAACTGGTTTCTGCAAAAGCTGCAAATTTATTAAACCAATCTCCCAGAGTTGCATGCATGTGAAATATTCATAGTTAATTGAAAATAGCAATCATAAGGATGCATATGTATATCTGCATGCATCCGCCTACTTTTGCTATATAGTATATAATACTATATATACCTGTTCTCCAATATTATTCTTCTTCAAGCTGCTAAATTAAATAATTAAATATTGTAATGTAACATGTACGTATTAATTAGTTATGCTAAACTAATATAATATATATATATAATTTTTGTGTTTTTCTTTGAAGTCATGGAGGGTTGCCATGCACGATCTCCCAGAACATGATTCATTGGGTGTGGTAAACGTATGGTATGTACCCTATCTTATCTTCTGAATCCATTATACCAAACATCAAAAAGAATGTATATATATATATGTATAACTTGTATTGAGAGATTCTTCGAATAAGCTTCTTTGAGGGACATCTTTGTAAGGCATACTTCTCATTATATTTCACTAATCGAAACCATCTATTTTGTAGATATTCATTCAAAGATCATCTCTATAAAAAATCACTTGAATCCGATATCATTTGACCACTTAATTAAATTATTAAAATTTTAGTACTTTCTTGAAGCACTGTATTTATTGATTTTGTTGGATACAATTAGATGTCTAAATGGTATCAAATTTGTTTAATTTTTTACAAGGATGATCTATAAATGAAGACCTAAAAAATAAATAGTTTGGATTATTGAAAAACAATTCGTAGGGTACCCTAATGAAAGGGTATATATAATATATAACGCTAAAATTAGACTTGTAGAATTAATATATTTATGTAGTCAACAATATTAATTGATTCAACGACTCAAATTCTAAAGTTGCATCTCTTCAACATAGAAACTTTCCAATGCACAAAGTCATACTGTCACATAAGTTGTAGAATGAGGTTGTTGGAAAGAAATGGAGAATTCAATTTCTAGAAAGAAAAAAGGAAAAAGGAAAAAACAAACAAGAACAATAAAAAAAATGCAAATAAAGATAATAAAGAGAGTTGACTAAAAAGAGATTGGAGTGGAATGGTGGTGCCACATATAGCTAGCTTAGCTTACGTCGGCTCTCCATGAAAAGCAACTTGAAGGGTTTTTATCGTGGAATGGAATGGAACACGTACGTTCTGCACTCATTTGGCTTCTTTCATGGGATACTCGATCGGCATTTCGAGCTGTAGCTTTACCAATCAGATTGTCTTTTCTCTCTATTCTGATCTTTCCTTATCTATCACGGATTCTTTCCTCACTACTGATCGAACCCAAAACCTGGAAAATCATATCATGAAAATCATAACACTACTTTACATCTATATCATGTAAATTGCCTAATGTTGACCCCGTGCATGCATGTGTAATATCAATCATAAACAAACCGCTTTCAAGACTCACATTGATATTAATTTGTGTAAATTATTGAGATTGTTAATGTTAAAATCGTGTGTGGTTTAGATTTACGTTCTGACAATATAAATTTATGCAAATATATGAAAATTATTGCAGTACGTGCATAAAACATCAAAACGTTGGTGTCCAGAGAGAGCCTGTGACTTCTTTCATTCACGGCTATTAAGTTTTTGGACAAAATATGAAATCATGCGATCCGTATCATTACAGAGCTGGAAAAAAAAGGTCCGAGCATGTGTGATAGCTAGTTATAAGTCAATATAAACGGCAAACAGAAGGAGAGAATATATATACATAATATGAAATCGGATTTAAGTGATTTTTTATTATAGAGATGATTTTTGAATGAATATCTATAAAATAGACGGTTTGCATTAGTGAAATACAATCCGGAGTAGGCCTTACAATAGTGTCCCTCAAATAAGCTTATTTGATAGATCTCTCATCGAACGCTCTTTGTATACATGTAGCTTATTTGAATTTATATCTGGCCATTAGCGGAACCACCCACAAGGCTATGGTGGGCTATAGCCTAGGTTGAGTTTTGAAGAAAAAAACAAACCTATATATATGGCAAACTAGCAACTACAAAACATTAAGGAAATATAAAGTCTGATGGTTGTTTAAGGAAAGATTTTTGAAGAAAAAAAAAAACTATATAGACCACCATAAACTACAACACATTAAAAAAATATTATTTTTCTCAAGTCTGTTTAATTCTTTGCTATCTTTTGGCAGTTGTATTCTCTCAATAAGCGCATGGCACAACTTGAATAGACACACGTTGAAAAATTCATAATTCTGCCCTTGTATGTGGCGAAGCGGAAAAGTTTGCATAACCTTCTAATTTTATAAAATTTAATTTATCATAATCGTAGTTGCTGATAAATCCTACATATGGTCAATCCTCCATTGACTCTATTTACTTAGGGAGGCAAACTATAAGAAAAAAGAAAAGATATATATAGATTATTCTTTGTTAAAAACTTTCGGTGTTAATTAAGGAAAAGTAAGTTAAAAGACGTGAGCAATCCACATTCAATGTACTTTGATGATCATTGATTACTTACTATATTTAGTTTCTAATAACTTGTTTGTTTGAGCATGGTAAAGTTAACGAACATATACAAAAGTGAAAACAAGCCGCCCGAATTCAAGGAATAATACGCAAAGAGGTCTGAATAATATCGTTGGCATGCAGTTGGAAAGTTGATTAAGTTTGTCTGTCAAACCGCTATTAACGACATTAGAGATGAAGATAATCGAAGTTTAATTTCTAGACAACTCTTCAGTCTTCTCGGCGCCGCCTCTCTTATCTTGCTAAAGCAGCTTTATGGGGAGATAGATACCAATGCCATTGGCCAGATATGTAAAGCATGAAAATATGGGAAGGGACAAGGGTCTACCTCCTTGTTCATAAAGGAGTGATTTACGAATTTTCATCATACATATGTTATAATCGAAATCATTCATATTTTAAAGATCATATATTTAATCGATTAAATTTGAGAGCGTTTACTCATTCATATGTATTAACTAAACAGTTTTAACGGGACATGTTGAGAATATATTCCTCCGTTTTAATTGGGTATAATACAACTATCAATAGGGTGTTAGTTGAATTAACCTAGATTTCTAGTGTGCTTCCAATTCCAAGTAGTCATGGGTTCAAGTCCACGTCTTAACGATGGCAAAAGAAAAAAAGCTAGGTACAACTCATATTCAGCGGTACAAAAATTGTGCATCTTTAACCGTACTTATCAATTCATAATATAAATCAATGAAACTTATTTCAAAGGCCCAAGTCTGGATCTCGGATAATTTGTTCTGAAGGCCCTTGGAATTGTTAGGAGCTACCAGGCCTTGGCCCATTTTACTTGGTTCCTCTGTTGCACCTAGATTTTGGGCCTCTGGGCCATTTGACCCATTACCAACTTCTGCCGTGCCTTTACATTACAGATCGACGGTCCTTATCAAAGTGCGGCCTTTATGTTGTGCCCTAATTTGCTGTACCCAAACTATATATATATATGATCACTATCGATCAAAACCCTAACTCAGAAGTCTAGAACCCTTCTCCTCTTCTGCACCATCCTTGTATGCCGCTTCTCACCTCCCACTTTGAATTTGAGATTCATAGCCAATTCTCAGTATGGCGAAGCATTCTCATCTTGTATTGTTTTGCTTTGTGTTTGTTTTCATTGTTTAAGGCTAGTATTAAGAAGTGTGCCTACCTATGCCTGTGATGGTGTTAAATATACTTTGAGATTAATTTCTATGAAACAAATTTACTCTGAGGCATGAGGCTTTATGATTACTGCACTGTTTCTGTTCTTGTTCCCTGAATTTTTTCTGAATTGTTGATTTTGTTATTTGGCTGAGGAAAACTTTGGAGTTGGGCTTAGCCCAAAACCCTGGTTTTGCTGAAATTTCTCATCTTTAGTTGTTATGCCGGAAAGTTTGGATTTTTACCATGCAAACTTGTTTATGCAAGTGAAGGTTTTGATAATAAGAATGAGAATTGTTTGTGTTTGGGATTGCAAGTGACGATAAAACAGACAGGGACATCTGCACTCTTCGGAGGGTGATGACTTAGTCTAATGGGAATCTCTCTGATGCATTTTCAAAAATTTTGCACTGCACTGGATTTGTGTTCTTGTGTAATTGTTTCCTTATGTTGGTTTCATAAATTTGAGTTGTGCTGGTGGGAATGTTGGTGGTAATTTGTTTTGATTGTGTTTAATCATTATGCCATTTGATCTGGTGTTGTGTATGTCTAAGTTATTTGTGCAAGTGACGATAAACAGACAGGGACATCAGAACTCCTTTGGGAGGATGGTGATTTGTCAATGGGAATCTCTCTGATGCACAACATTACTTGAATTGAATGAATTTTCTTTTAAATTATAACTTTTGCCAATGATGCAGTTAAAATGCACGTATTATCAGAGATAATTATGATGATATATGCTATTGTCACTACCTCTGAGGCAAACTCTCTGTTTTCCGTTTGGAAATCTGATTTCTTTTTGCTTGTTTGAAACATTTGTGGTTCGTGAGTTCAAATGTCATGATCTTTTTAGTGTAAGAATTGGTTTTGAGAAAAACAGAGCCTAATGATTGCAACAAAAGAACGGAGATTTGAAGGGTGCTTTTGTGGAAGCTTAACATAGTATTGGGCTCCAAAAGCGCCTCATGAAATAATCGTTCACGCTGGATAGTATATGAAGGCTTTCACACTATTTAATTTCTGTTGTTTGGTTCTTGGTTTTGTTTTTCAAGTGTCGTATAAACAACAACTGAATTTTTGTGTTCAAGTATCAAATCTAAGCATCATTTAAAGTTTTCACAATCCGCTGATTTCAGTGACTGCTTGAAGAAGAGCTGCTGATCATCCATGTTCCCCATTTGTTACCGCCTATGAGCACCCAAAGAATGTTTTTGACACTCGGTCTCGGGCTTAGAAAGGAGATTTTATTGACAAACCTCTCTTAAAATGACTTAAATTCCCTAATTTCTAAGCTTGGTGAAAATGATTAAGATTGAGAAGAATGTGAAATGACTTAACTTCATTAATCTATAAGCAATAATATAAATCTCATGTGTTGAAGAATGTAAATTGGTTTCGACCAAAAAAAGAAAAAGAATTTTGCAGCCCGTTCTTCACGAACTGGATTACCTGGAGCCCAAGGCTAGGGCTGTTTGTTCGGCCGTAAGTACGCAGGCCTAGTGGGTTATTGTTTCCTAAGCCCAGAAAGAGTACCAAGAATTTATGATTAGGTAAATGCTTCGATTTACGTTGATGTTTGCAAATGTACCTACTAATTGAATTCTAAAATTACATATGGAGTTGCACTGATTGTTTTTATTTCTACTTTCTTGTCTGCAAGAACCCTCTTTTGGGGGCAGTACTCTTCTTGTGTAATCTTGTATCTGTCTTCATATCAATGAATCTACTCTGTTCGGAAAAATAAAAAAATTTGAATTCTAAAATGAGAATTAGATGATATGGGCTGGATTAATAATTTTGGGAGACTTTGAAAAAAGCAAAAGGAGAGAGAAATTTTTTAAAAGAAGCCAAAATAGACAAAATTGTTCTTATTTATTTTTGGATTTTCTAAGGAATCTTTCACATTTGAATGTCTTTGATTTGAAAGTTGAGAGATTTTTCAGTCTTTTTTGAAAAAGTTTTAGCTTTTTTTAAAAGTGAAAGTTTTTTTATGACTAAAATCTAAATTTACTTCGAAGGTAAAACCATCCCTTTATCCAGTAACATGGAAGTGGAAACTGGAAACCGCGTTGGAATAGATAGCCTGGTTTCTGCAAGATATTTCCTAGTATGTAGCCAGAATAGCCATATAGGGATGGCGCCCAACCCACTTCCCTGGGACCCACGCAGAGTTGGATTCTTGGTAATCCACGTCAGTGCCACCGGTACGTGACCCTGACCAGCAAAAAGCATTATTCGGTTCCCTATTTAGTTTTGTCTGAATGCCATTTTTTTTTTGGTTCAAAGTGTATGACTTAGTTTACACTGCAAATAAACAATTCAAAAATGAAAAATGATTTTTTCATGTGAAACGTTTGTTCAACTTTTGGGAAATATAGAGTGCTATTAAACGAATCATAAAATTAATTAAATATATCTATTGATTTAAGTATATCCTAATATTTTAATTCAAATGCAAAATTAACTAAGTACACTACATTTAACTACCAAAAATACCTATAGTACATCCTAAACACAACACCCTTTTAAACAAATACTAACCATAAAATTAATCTAATGAATTCTAATAAGCCCACGTCACCATAATTGTATTAACCTAAAACTCACTCACCATTTGCACCTTCTTAGCCAATACTTATGAAATAAAAAATAAAAAAATAAAATGTTCTAGCAATAACTGCCTCCTAACGATGGAGGACTTCAATTCGTTGGCCTTGTTGAGAGTCCATCCTCCAAAATTCAGAGAGAGAGAGAGAGAGAGAGAGAGAGAGAGAATCACATGGCTAGCTAGTAGTGGGGTAAGTGGGTTGGGTCGGGAAGGTGTTTATGTTTGATGATATATTTATTTATATTTCAAAATTATTGGATACAATGCAAATTGTGAGTTTTATGTTAGTACAATTTGTTGATGTGGATTTATTAGAATTCATTAGATTAATCTAGTGGTTAGTATTGACTTAAATACGTATAAATGCACCGATGCTAAATGCAGAGTCTTGGAATTAGTGAGTAGGGTGTATTCATTAAAATTATATTTGTTTCACAATTCAATATATCCTTTTTGGTCATTTTATAATAGGATAAATTAGTAATTCAATAAATAGTTTGACAATAGGGTGTACTCAGTTAATTTTAGGATTCGTTTAGCAGCACTCGAAATATATTACTATATTGGAAATTGTGGAACAAGATGTTGAAAACAATACAAACTTTGGAAATGCCAAGACCAGAATCTCCTCTAGAAAAGCTAAGTCCTATCATAATCCAGCCTTTGAGTTGAGTTTTCAAAAGCAATGAAGTTTAGCTATTGTCAACATTCAAGGGTGGCCACAAATGACCAACTGCCTGATTTGATGACCCATATGATTATAATTTAATTTAATTTTTGAATACTTAGCTGTAATTATTGACTAAATCTTAAAGTTTGGAACTTGGAAACAGATCATTCCCAGGACCCACTAAAGATTGATGGATTATTGCCAATACACATCTTGGAAAAACAAAGCATTGCCCATGTATTTGTAGGTGAATGGAAGGGCTTTTGGACAAATGCAAAATTGTTCTAGGTACCAAATCCGTAACTCCATATTCTACCACAAGCAAATTGGAAGAAATAACAAGCTTGATCTGATTAAAAATCATTAATCAGATCACAATATCCAATCTAATAATAAGATTAACCAAACTTGCAGGGCTCAATGTAAAAAAAGCCAGAGCCCCTGCTTATGGAAAACCCAAAAAATTAAAAGATATGTACAACACCACCACCAAGTAGGAACTGTCCCAGAGATAGAGAGCTGCTTTAAACTTTCACCATGGAACTTTCTTCTTGAAGCTCTATATTATGGCTTGCATTGCTCCAAACACCAGCCATATCTATAATTTCTGTGACTAGATCCTCCACTCTTTCTTCCTTCATGGAAGGAGATGTTGATGTTGTTGATAATTCACCCATTGAATCTAACTTTAACATCTCAGATTCATCTAAACCTTTTGCTGGGCCCCCAAGATTACAACGGCCAGTCCCATGTTTTGCCATGGCATCTTTGAATTTCTTAATCTGTCAAATAAGAATTTTAACTTAGTATTTTGATCCACAAACACATCTGCTAAATGCGTTGATATTGAAACTTAAGAAAGAAGATTGATTTAGGGAAATACTTACAGTGGCATTGGTGCAGCTGAAGCTACATACACGACCTTCTGCACCTTTGTAAAACCTAAAGAATGGTAGCACATGAATGTTGAGGGCATGACACATAGTCTTGAGCTCCTCATAGTTAACTTTAAGAAAAATTGCATCTGGGTTCAATTCAGCCTGCTGACAGATCTGTGAAAATGGATAATTGTTGGTTAACAAATTTCACAAAATAAATTAGATTGCTATAATTTCGAGGTGGGTTTTCTCTAAACAGAAATATATGAATTGGTTATTTGGTCTCTAGAACATAAACTGAAAATAAAATATACCTTGGGATGGAGAGCTCTGCAACCTCCACAACCAGGTGAGTAGAAGTCAACTACAACCAATCTATCCCCAGCGTTCTTCAAGGAATCAACAAGTTCTTGAGCAGAATGGATCTCCACCATGTTGGGATGAAGGGTCTTCTCCCACCATTTCATAGCTCGGCTTACACAGATAGATGCTTGAGCCTGAAACCAGATATTAACAATTATTTGTTGAAGGCCAAAATAATAATGCAGTACGGAAACACAAAAATCTACAAATGCCAAAAGCCAAAAGCCAAAATAGAGAAAGGAAAAAAAGAAAACTTTACATACATGAACAGAGAAATCGCTTGGCGTTTTGACCTTCCAATGCTCAAAACCCTTTTGATCTGAGACAATAATGGGTTTGCCCAAGAAATCACAACTCAACACAGGAAAAGCTCTTGAATTTGAATCCTTATATTGTGAAGAATTGAAGGGGGGACAAAACCTATAATCCCCCTTGGATTTGGAGCCAAGTGTAATCTCATCCAACCCAGAAATATAGAAACCACTCTGTGATGAGAATCCCATAGCTAGGTTAAATCAGACACCTTTTCTGAGAGCAGGAAACAAGAAAAACCCACTTCAACCTTTCCAACTTTCTGAATCAAAATGGTTGGAATATGGCGGAAAAGAGATCCCTTGCAATAAAACCTTGAGCAAGATTTATGCTTTTCAACAAAAAGTGCAAGCTTTGAACAAAAAGGTGTGATCTTTGTGACAAGTAACCTATCTAATTGTGGCTTGAGAGAGAGAGAGAGAGAGAGAAGTGCTTTGTTCTTTGAAAACTTTGGAGAGGGAGAGGAGAGGAGAGGTGGAAGAAGAAGAAGAAAGAAGTGGGTATTTAGAAAGGGTAGGTGGGGTCTTTATGATTAGGATTTTACTCTTATCCACATTTTATTTTCCCCTTTATAATTTGGATAAATGACACTGAATTTTAGCTCTGTCTTGAAGTTGACGTGTATATCCTCTTACCGGAATTAAAGATGATTTGTGTTATATTTTAGGGTTTTTTTTCTCCTTTTTTTGTAATTTTGGGTTGAGTTTTGGAATTTGAGCTGGCCATGTTTTAAACAATTTGCTATATTATTACCGGTAAATGTTTCTGTTGTGTATTTTCAATGGAATATTCCCCATGAAATTATGAAAAGCGGATAAAACGCGTAGCTGACTGTGTCTGCCTCTTCGAATTTTGGATAAGATGACAAATCCCTCATCTCTTTTTACACTGCACGGAAGGAGTAAAATCGCTCTGTTTATTTGACTTTTTCTTTTTTCCAAATGCTATTTTGGTAAATAAAAGTCTGTTTTTTTTTTTAAATTCCAAGTCTTTTCTGATGAAAAATTTCGTTTTTATAAATAGTTTTGAGAGAAATAGGATTTATGTATAGTTTTCTTAATACAGGATTTATATATAGTTAAACAACAGGTAAAAGTCCTAATTCCAGTCCATTACAAGACGCAAACCATGCAAGGGGGATGAATTTTACTATTGTAAGGGAGCTTAATAAACAAATGACCATGAGATGCTCTGTGCTAAGTGCCCTGATTAGGCCTTAACAAATGACAAATCGCAGCATCTAACAACCACATGGTTATTAAAATATTATAGAGAGAAGAAAATTTTAATTAATAAACAACATCCACTGCAAACACACTGCGGACATAAGAATTTCAAATGCAGAAGATATTTTTCCCATTAATAATCATGAGTGATGAGTCATGGTACAAGGAACCTAATCCAAAACAAAACAAAAATAGAAACCCAGTTCAAGTAGTTCCAAAACTCTGCACTTCACTCAATGGAAGTCGCTTAGAACGAAAGTCAGTTGTTTTTTTTTTTTAATCTTTGTTTTGGTGAAATAAGCCAGTTGTTGGATGAAGAGACTATTGATTTTAAATTGGATTGAAAGAGAACGAAAATAAAGTACATAATGGACTCGAATTCATCTTCCACCATCTAAATGGATAAATGTTAATATGTGGTGCATTTGATTAAATCAGAAATGCCACCGAGCGTAGTTGTGGATTAAGGGATAGTGTGTCCGTCTTTTTGCACCCGAATTCGAATTCTTCTTCCCATAAATTAGAGTAGTTTATGAAATGCCACCAAGCAGCAATAAATGTGTAGCATATATGTAAATGTAAAGGAGCGAAAACCCACATTCATTTTATGATTTAATGTTATGGGAGCGTCATGCATGCAAGTGCGCCTTTTCTCTGGATGAAATGGCATGACAGTGAGAGCACCTGGGCTTCTAGATGATGGATAATGATAAAGCTTGGTTACATGTCCATGGGATCTGTATATTAGCACACAGATTTTGGATCAACTTTTCCGGTCCTTAAAGATGGCCCATAGATTTGGATTTTGGAGCACTGGTTTGGCACAAAACCAAGGCAGAGGTATCTTCCAGAACAAGTCCATGAGTTTGGGAACAGCTTTCCTCGTGTCTCTCTTGGTGTACCTAACAAAGAAATGAGAGCCACAACAATGCAATCATGCAGCATTGTTCTCCATAACCTCAATAATCATTCAATTTACCAATTGTTTCTATTTTTTTTCTTCATTTGTTAGTTTGTTGCAGAACTAACTGCAAATATAAAAAAACAAAAGATTAATTCAAACATTCAAAGGTTTGAATTAATATACAGTATATATACACATTATAATAACGTCTTGATGTTTGAGGGGGTGGAAGAACAGTGAAAGAATATTAAACAATCATTTCACTTGACAAGCTCCTCCTCCTTACCAGCCTCTTCCAACTCTCTCAAGCTTCCAACCTTCTGCTCTATCTCCTCAATCAGCTCCTCCCTCCACAACTCTGCTCTTGCAGATTCTTCAATGTCTGCTTGCTGCATCACCAACCATTAATTATACCTCAATCAGATTTTTAAGTTGCTGGTGCTGGCCAACTACAATTGATATAGGAGGAGGTTTCTATACATGTGGAGATACTGTTTGAAGTTACATATAAAGTGGGATCCAGAAGTGCATGGAAAATAATGAACTTAATTAAGTACCTTCTCATAAATCCAATGTCCAGTACCATCACCTCCATCTTTTCTGTATGTTTCTGAATCATAGTATGGATCCTGAAACATTCTCCAACATTTCAGAATGCTCTCTAAACTTAGCTAATGAAAATATTACAATTAATGTAATAAACTAAAAACAATGTTCTGTCTCATTTGCATTCATGTATTTTATTAATCTAAAATTTCCAGTAGAAAGAGATTTCGCTAACGAAAAAGCTTACAATGCTGCCCGATATCATACGAATTCACAAAAACTACAAGTGTCCAAAGAAAAGAATGAAGTGAGACTAAATATAGCTACTTATACCTTCATGGAACCAAAGAATAAGCATCCCCAACAAGTGAACATGATGTAAAAAGTATCTACAAATAGGAAAGGGAGGGGTCAAACAAAAATCCTGTCACAATTTTCATGCATCCTAATCCATCACAGAGTACATAGAAAAACTAATCAAAAAAACCTTAGGAAAGGTGTACTTACAGACATTCTTTATGGATTCATCACTGAGATGCACAATAGATTTGTGGGTTATAAGGTCTCTTTGGCCTTCTATATGTTCAACTAGAACTGCCATCAAAGGCCAATCTGGGAAGGCATTTGTTTTGCATAAAGAGGCTCTTTTGCTCTTCTTCCCACCTACAAGCTATTGAACAAAATATAACACATAACGTTAATGCAGTAAATAGTTTGACATATTAATGGTTCTGTTTTTTGCTAATTTAAAAACTAATAAAAAGGAAAATAAATTCACAAACTGCTTCATTACCTGCCTGCACCCACTGAAAAGTTCAGAGCTTGAAGACTGCCTAAGCTGCAAAAGAAGGGCACTCTAAGCATTTCCATGTACCATTTTAAACATAACAAGAAAATCAGCACAAAAAAAAGTCATTAACAAGGGAAGGTTGGATTTTTACCAATCTGGTACATGAGCTCGTGTGAGTCATGTCCAATTTAGTTGTTTGCATAGAGGAGCTATGAATATGTGGACTGATAATGGTGAAACCCATGATAGCTTCTGCCATTGTCTCCAATGAGTTGAAAAAGATGCAGTTGTAAATTGAAGTGTGAGAGTTTAGGCTGCAGTTTTTGTTTTGTTTTTCATTGGATTGGAGGGAAAGTGGATAAGAGAATCATTTGCGTCCACCCTTTAATCACCCTACGAAACATTTCAAATCGGCCTATTAGCTCAGCTGGTTAGGGCGTCGTGCTAATAACGCGAAGGTCGCAGGTTCGAGACCTGCATGGGCCATTATTTTTTTATTTTTATCCTTTTTATTTATTTATTTTTAAATTTTAATGTTCAACTTTAAAGAAAAGAAACCAATAGCCAACATAATAATCAATCACAATCAAGGAAAGTTCAGAGCTTTCGATGTCCTATTAGGCTCTTGTTTCCTGCGACTTCTGTCTACTTCTTTGCCTCTTATACACACTTCGTTTGATTTTCCTTATCTCTTTTTCTCGGAAAATCCGTCTTCTTTCCAAGAAATTTTATGGGGAGGACTGGGTTGTTTGATCTTGAAAGGCACTTCGCCTTCTACGGCGCATACCACAGCAACCCAGTTAACATTTTGATACACACTGTGTTTGTGTGGCCGATATTGTTCACCTCTCTGGTTCTTTTGTACTTCACACCTTCTCTGTACACTTTCCCAGCTGGGCTCAGTCATGGTTTTCTGTTGAATTTTGGGTTTGTTTTCACTGTGATCTATGCCTTGTTTTATGTCTGCTTGGATAAGAAAGCTGGGTCTTTGGCTGCTTTGCTCTGTGTTCTCTGTTGGGTTGGAGCCAGTTTGCTTGCTGGTCGCCTTGGATTTTCTTTGGCATGGAAGGTTAGCGCTCCTCTGTTTTAGCTTATGTCTTTTTTGTTGATGATCTCATTTTGGGGGAAACCACAAAGATAAAAATTGGGGATAATTTTAAAATTCAGTATTTCCTGATTGTAATTCTAAGCATCAAATTGGCACTTGGATGGTTAAGTTTCCTCTCAAATTTGAGGAACCACACGGCACTTGGATGAACTCTGCCCAAAGATTGAAACTTTAACCTAGAAATTTGGGCAATAGCATTTTCCAATTGGTATTGCTGGTCTTTTGAGGTTGAAACACCAATTACAGGGTCTTTGCAATTTATAAGTTGAGCTATTGATTCATTTTGCCATTCATCAGTTGAACAACTGTTCATCTGTCTATCCATGCGCAGAAATTTACAATGCATTCTAAGAGTTATATGTTGAAAACTGAAATCCTAATTGTTTGATGAAATACTTATTCAGGTTGTGCTGGCTGCTCAGTTGTTCTGTTGGACTGGACAGTTCATAGGCCATGGGGTGTTTGAGGTGACTAATTTTGGGCCTTTGGAACTTTATGCCTTGTTCCCATGTTCCTAACGTAGTATCAAGGAATTTATATATATATATATATATATATATATATCTCACGATAATTTTTCGTTTTAGAAACGAGCACCAGCTCTTTTGGACAACCTCGTTCAAGCATTTCTAATGGCGCCTTTCTTCGTGCTGCTTGAGGTACGTCCTTAAATCCCGTCTAGATTGGAGATGGCTTCTCTATGTGATGATGAGTGAGTCATGTTTCTGTTTCATCGTGCAGGTTCTTCAAACAGCGTTCGGCTATGAACCTTATCCTGGGTTTCATGCAAGTGTGAAAGAAAAGATAGACGCCAACCTCAAAGAGTGGTGCGAGAAGAAACAGAAGAAAATCTCTTAGTGTAGATCAGCCACATGAGACTGTACTAGTGTAGTTTAGCCTCCTGTAAAGAATGAGATGAATGTACTGGTCTGTATCCATATCTATCAAGTACACAAACTTTGGATGGAAATCTATAAATAAAATTTCCAGACTTGAGCTGGAACTGAGCAATATAGTTATCCATTTGAAATGATCTCTGAGCTCTAAATTGCCTAAGTAAGCCTCCTAAGTAGCAGTATATTACACAGGCGACAACTTTCAACTATAGTAATTGCTGTATCTATTTCTTCAGAACAGGCTTCAGTTGAGTCCATTTCAAACCTCATATCATATGAGAACATGCTCCAACCAGGCTATTACCAGGCTCTGGTTTTTGAACTCCCCTGTCCTTCATTGATTTCCTCACACTCATAACTTCGTTCCATCGGCCCGCACTTGCATACATGTTAGCCAGAAGAACATAGTCGCTGCTATGACCTTGATCTGGTTCCAGCTCCAAAAGATGGCTCCTCACTTTTTCCCCAAGCTCAACGTCACCGTGCACCTGACATGCTGCCAACAATGTCCTCCATACAATGGCATTACACTCCATTGGCATGCTCCTGATTAAATTGTAGGCCTCCTCCACATACCCAGCTCGCCCCAACATATCAACCATGCATCCATAGTGCTTCATTGTTGGTTTAGTATGATACTCTTTGCTCATAACATCAAAATATCTTCTTCCTTCATCAACCATCCCTCCATGACTACAAGCACACAAAACTCCCAAGAAAGTAACACCATCTGGTATCTCAAGCTTTTCCTCCAACATTTTCGAGAACAATTCCAAAGCGTCGTCCTCATGGCCATGCGTTGCAAGCCCCAGAATTATCGTGTTCCATGACACTATGTTCTTCCCTTCCATCTTACTGAATGTCTCATATGCTTCTTCAAAAGCTCCACACTTTGCATACATGTCGATGAGCGAATTAGACACCGTCACAATATCGCCAAGATTCACTTGATCAATACAAGAATGAACCCACCTCCCAAAATATAATGCCCCCAATGTAGAACATGCCGAGAGGGTCACAACCACGGTGGCCTCATCAGGCTGTACGCCGCTCTGTAGCAGTCGTAAGAACAAGTCAAGTGCTTCCTTGCACTTTCCACAATTGACATGACTATCAATGATGGTGTTCCAAGCCACTAAATCTGGACTAGGTATTTCTTCAAACAGTTTGGTTGCAGTTTGGTCATCCCGCAACACACCATAGATATGAATAAGAGTGTTCCTCACAAACACATGAGACTCCAGCCCAAGTTTCAGAGTGGCACAATGCATCTGTTTGGCCAACATATATGAACCCAATTGCCCACAAGCCTTGAGCAAGAAGGAGAGTGTGAAATTGTCAGCCACCTCTCCTTTCTCTTGCATTCTCTTATAAAACTCAAATGCCTTTTCAGGCTTCCTGGTTTTTCCAAACCCCCTAATCATAGTATTCCATAGAAAACCATCTGCGTTTTCAATGCTGCTGAAAACCGAGGCCGCATAGTTCATGTCTCCACGCTCCGAAACAGCGCAAAAAGATATGATCTTTCCAAGAACAAAGGGGTTTTGATCGACCCCATTACGGATGATATGGCCATGGGTTTGCTTTACCTCTTTCATGGTGGTGCACTGCTTGAAAAGGGACATAACCTTGTGCACCTTTTGAAATATGTCGTCACGCATTTGGCTTTTACAAATTACAAGTTGGGTTTACAAGTTACAAATGTGCTTGAGCTTAAGAAAAGAGGATGGTTGAGCTTTGACAAATGCAAATTTTTTTTCATAAATTTTATGTTTTGATTGGGGCCTTTGTATTCTCGGGGCTTCAACTTGTAAGAGCAAGTCCAGTGCTCACCCAAATCTGGGCAAAAGGCCCCCCTGGCAGCCCAACTCCCCTCCAGCGCGCAGAAAAGAGCTGGCAGCCCCACCCCCCTCCAGCGCGCAGAAAAGAGCTCGGGCAATGGCTGGGTCCCACCAGCCCGGGCAGGCCCAAGGGCAACTTTCGCCTGGGCTTCAGCCCGAGGGCGCTGACGTCAGCGAGCAAAAAAAAATTCAAAAAAAATTATAAAAAAGTCAATTTTAAAAAAAAAAAAAATACCAAAAAATTATGGATATTTTCCCTATAAATACATAACAATTTTATATTTTGTTGCATATATATATTTTTTTCTTGCTCTTGACTTGCCTTAGACTTTGCCCTCATGGGTGGAACCACAAATGCAAAGGCTGACACTATTCACGTGAATAGTTGCAGCCCTTGCTTGCCTTTGCCTTAGACTTAGCCCTTGTGGGTGGAGATGCTCTAATGGGCAATTTTCACTTTGCCCTTTTCGGGATCCTCCGAAAATTGTCTCAGCCGAACAAAGAAAAAAAAATGGAGAAGTCTTTTGAGTGTGTGTCTTACGCATGTGGTTTACCTTTCTTTCTTTGTTTGGGTGAATTCTTTTGGTTTGGGCTCAAAAAGAAAGTTTAGTTTTGCCAAATGTAAATTTCAACCTGTAATGTGGTTGCCTTTATATTTGAAAACAATAAGTAGGTTTTGCCTTTATACTTCACCAATGCCAAATGAGTTTGTTTACTCGGTGGCACAAACAGGATTTGCTTGTTTGTCTAACATGATCTATTCGTGTGAGTGTGTGTTGTTGGGCCAAAGCCGAAAGACAAAAGAAAAGCAACTCATCTAGATTAATGCTTGCGGTTTTCCTGAAAATTGCAAGGACAACATTGTTCTTATGCTCACAATAGAAAGGGTTAAGTTTTTGAAATTAAGGGCAAGGTTAACTTGTACAGAACAAAATAGATTACACATGTTCTCTTCAATATAGAACCTCCAAGTAACACAGATGCAAATTTGGAATTTGCTGGAAATCAACAATTTCTAAGATTTTTTTAAAGGATTAAATAATAACAATCATAATTTCAGCTTGTCCATGGCATTAGATAAATTTGTACACATAGTTAATCAAATAATATCACAAGGATTCATTCATTTAGGTGATAAGGGAAGCTTCCTCTTTTCTGTCTGCACAAGTCTCTGAGCCTACAACTTTCTTTTTGGTAATTACAACTCCACAAGTCCTGCTTGTAATAACCTACCTCATCAAAATATTCACAAAACCTCTCATTCTGCAGCCTACAACAATGTTCATGTGTGATCTAAGATCCATACTTGTTATCTGACAAAAAAGACTTGTTTTGTTATCTTCGTGATGAAGACAAAATCAACAGTAATCCGACCAAGCACTATTCATCTCGTGCTTCTGCAGTCCCATGTCGCCTTTAATCAGCCTTCTGCTCGTGCTTCTACAGTCCGTCAATAATTCGAGACAGGAGAGTCAAGTCACTTTTCACGCATGCCTCAACAGTCATATCCCATTAATAATGGAATCTTATGCTGCCACAGTGATTCCCGATGATTCTCCTCAGTCACTTTTCTGTTCTCAGTTTTTGCTAAGATTTCTCTGAGCATCTTCATGCTCAAAGAAACACTTGTATAATTATGTATCTCTTTCTACCTACAGCCTGCAATCAATAAAATCTTCAAGTCAAGATTTTTCTATAAGTTTTATGTTTGATTTATAAAAGCTTCAATTGAGTCATTAATTTATTGCATTATTTTCCGCAATAGTTTTAATTTGATACTCTCTGACTGCTCTGATGAATCTGGCCTTGAGCCGTCATAGACCTGTCATATATATATATATATATATATGTATATGTATGTACCTAGTCAAGTATATATTATATAATATGTACTGCGACTCTATATTTCAATTGTTCAGTCAGCACATATATATAGAACTTCACTTGAGGAGTTGTAAGCCTTGCATGAAAAGATATAAGATGTTGGTCTCAACCTATCGCAAATTAGTTTCGGGTTGGGATGCTCTATAACTTGTACATTTCTATATTCCATTTGGATATATCAACATTTAAAAACATAGTTGTGATGCTTTAGTTTATTAGGACAAACCTGTAAAAGAAAATAGAAATTCATGGATTGGCATTGTACTTAATTTATTCGTTTATTAAACTATAAGAACTTTCATATAAACACATTGAAATGCCCTTTAGCATTTCAGATTGGAAAAGTTTGAAAATAGGTAAAGATTTATTGAGTTTTTAAGTTTGAGAGTATTTAGATTTATTTCTATATGTTATATATATATAGGCTTGATGACTAGTGAGTAAAGGAAACTTGACAGAAAACCAGAAAATTAGACTTGCAAAACCTAGTTAAAACCTTCAAACTATCAACTTTTCTAGGGACTTTTGGCTCTGATACCAGGTACTGGCCCGGCCTCTTAAGAGCAAATTTTTTTTAAATTTTTAATCAATTTTTAGCTTTAGCTTATGCGCGGAAGGTAATATAGAGACGTAGAGAATAAACAGAATAATTATCAGAAATTCAAACATACAAAGCCAAAGCCAGGGATAAGAATATAACGAAATTAAAAACGATATAAACGATAGCATTAATATTTAGCAAACTTACATAAAAGCAGAAGGGCAGTAGTGCTTAACAAAAGCTTTACTTGGAATATAAAAACACCCAAACACTTAAACACTCAAAAGTACAAAGTTTATTTTGAGGCGATGGTTTTTCGATGAAGTGCAACTGAGGAGAGGTCCTCCTTTTAAAGCCTCGAAGTTGCTGACGTGTCAAATAGAGACAAGAAGTCACAAAGCAGCCTACAGTAGAGCGGCATCTTCACTTTGAGGATTCTTGCTGAACTTTCTCGAAAGCAGTCAAAAAGAAAAAGCAAACTTTTACAAAAGTGAAAGCAAAGTTAAAATAGAAGAATCTTGCTTTAACTAGAGGAAAAGTAAAGCTAAAATAACATGAAAGCATAAAATTACAATTTACAAATTGTTTTCTTATCAGACAGAATATCACTAAGGCCTACCATAAAGATCCGGATGATAATTATCCAGCATGTCTTCATTTGCAAAAGGGTCCACCTCATTTTCAAGCTGAGTGGCAGATGCTGATGCCATGGATTCGTCATCCAAATCCAGAATCTCGAGGACTTTCTTTTGCAAGTCTTCTTTAGAAGATGATGATCCTGGCTGGTCTATCAACAGTTGCAACCTTTGGGAAACACTTAGATTAGAAGAAGTGGTCAAAGGCTGAGCAGCAGCAAAGTCGGGGGATGGGATAAACGCGGCGTCTACCCGCACCCATCTCTGCGGCGTCTACCCGCACCCATAGTACATCTCCTAGACACCCTGTCAGCAGCCTGAGCCAAAGCCCTCATGTTGGGATAAGTGTTGGCAGTGACCACGGCCTGAATCTTCCACCCCAAACCGCCTTCAAAGCGTTTGCACCTATCCTCTTCAGTAGCCACTAACTCGGGTGCAAATCTTGACAGCTCATTAAACTTATGTTCATACTCTACCACCGACATTGACCCCTGTTTCAGATATAGGAACTCTGACTTCTTAGCATACCGGAAAGAAGGTGGATAAAATTGGTCGGAAAAGACCCTCTGGAATTCCTCCCAAGTGATGGCAGCTGGATCCTAATAACCTCGCTTCACTGCCTGCCACCAATGATAAACATTTCCCTTAAGCAGAAAGGTAGCCAAACAGACTCCATCTCCAACTGGGCACTCTAGCACTTAAGTGAAATTCTGATTTTTACCCAAACTTACTTTGAAATAATTACGGTAGCGCCAACATTACTTGCTGGAATTCATTCTTTTTGTTCAGTTTAAAGGACCTTCTTTAATTTGTTCTCTTTTTATAAATTACATGTCCCAAAGAAACACCATATTTTTTCAGTTCCTGTTTTTGCACTTGCTAATTAAAAAAATAATAAAAAATCCGTTTTTACCACCAATGGCAGACCTGCCAAAACCATCACACTCCCATCTAGCCCAACCCTTTCAGTTTTTTTTTTTAAGTTTCAAACAGAAATAAGAAAGGAAACCAACACCAGCTCTCTTAACTATGGAAATATAGCAAAAATCAGCCAATTAACTTTTTACCTCTTCTACCGATTCCAACCATTCCAAATAGCTGCATGCATGCCCTTTTTTGGATACTCCTTCATCTGCAAGGTAATACGACATCAATACTCCTCACTTCCTTTCCTTCTAGCAAGAAATGCCAAAAATTAAAGTAAAAGAATTGACATATATGTAACAGATACTAGTACACAGTGATGCAAAATAAACAAATTGCTATATCATGTTCCTACTTTGACTGACTGTAAAGGAGTGGTTTTTACATATCTTTTCAAGGAAACTCACGCCAGATGCTGTAAATACTGCATTTCCAATATGTATTGTCAAAAACTAAATTAAATTAGGTTTTCAGAAAGAGAGAGAGAGAGAAAAAAAAAAAGAATTCGAAAAGTCTTTTTCAAAGACATTCTACTTAAGATCAACAAATTAAACAAGAGCTTTTTTTCCAATAAGAAAACATAATTGTAAATATAACAATGAGAAGTATTAAAGCAAAGCAAGCAAAACATATAACAAACTGGGAAAAATTATGAATAAAATAAATTCATACTTAAATAAAGGTAGGAAGCCACACTCAACAATTTTGTGCTTGAGAGAGAGAGAGAGAGAGTTTTGATCGGAGGTAGTGGGGGGTGAGGGGTTGAATATACAGATAGATAGAGGATGGTAAAACTTGGTTTCAGTTTTGTGCTTGCTGGAGAGAGAGAGAGATATATATATATATATATATATATTTTGGATCTGGAGGCAGCCTTCGGGGTATATGGCTGCCTAGGATTCTAGGAACTACTGAAAGAAAGGTCTCTGTTTGCTTTGCTGATGGATGGATCATGGATGGATGCTCCAAGCCAATCCAATCGTACATGAGATGGGGCCACTACCTTTTTCAAAAAAACAAACCAAGAAAAATCTCATCTTAATGTGAGGTCAGAGTCATGGACCACGAGAAAGTTGTTTCCCTGCTGCTATCTTCCCAAGCCAAAACCAGGAAAATAACACAGTGACGAAGACCAAATAACCAAAGCCAGTCATAGTCATAGACGAGGACAAATTAATGTGCCAAAACCAAAGCAAAGAAATGGAGCCCATAGTACGGACGGTACAAACTAGAAAACATTATTGAAACACTCACGTAGGTAGAATCTTAATTAATTAGTTTACTAACCTTTCGTTTAATTTGTTTTGCATTTATGTTAGAAGACTGATTTTCATTTTCTAACTACAAACACTCACGTCTAGGAGCAATGCTGAGATACGAGCCATATGGTCACATTATCCTACTGTTACCTAGGTTTGCATGTTTTTCGACCAAAACGAAGGTTTGCATGTTTCATTCGTTCAACACATTGAAAAAACAAAAAAAAACTATGTATGTTATATTATATGAGATAGGGATCATAAGATTCTAGGAAGAAACTAGTGAAATGTCTCTGTCTGTGTCTGCCTAGGATTCTAGGGACTACATAAAGACCTCTGGTTGCTGAAATATGAAAGTGTTTGATTAGCCGAGAAAATAGAAAAAGAACAGGTCTACTTGTTAAAAGATATAGCTAGGTCAAGAAAGAAAACATGAAGGTTGGTGTCTTGCATGAGATTCTCGTGGGTAAAAGACGAACATGACTTGACTACTCTGAAAAGAGCAATTTCAGCTTTGAATTTAACATGTGGCAGCTAGCTGGATTTGAAAAACCAAAAAACAAAAGTGCTAGTGCAGCTGAATTTAAGACGTATCAATGATTTGGTTTTCTTTCATGAATCATGATGATGAAGTGGTTTCACTTGGTACAAAAATGATTTGGTTTTCCTCCTGCTCTTGCTCTTGCAGGGGATGCATAAAAAAAATCACATATAGAGAAGATTCTCTTAGCTTTGTCATCTCATCTACATGTGCTAGTCTCGACAAACAAAGCATGTAGTTGATTGATTTGGATGACCTTTCTTCACCCCTCATTTCACAACAAACCTGACCAATCCTCCTAAATGAAACAACTAGCTTCATTACAACTAGCAATTTAGAAACTTCAACATTTTCTTGAAGTGAACCCAAGATGAGACATGAGTCAATATTGCTATAAATAAATAAAAGATCCTAAATTCCTAACATCACAACATACATTATCAAAGAAATAAATGAATTGGATGATATGATACCATACAAGTTATCCTTAGCTTCGAATTAAAATCGATATCCAATTCATGTTCTCCATTTAATAATAAGTGTAAGAATGAATTAAGGCACCAAAAAAGGTTGCAAACATGTTCTCCATGTATATTGGGCCTTCAGCTTTTGATGTCCATTCTCTCTTTGCCCTTTCTGGGCTTGTATGAAATTTGTTTCAGCCCCAGAAAAAGAGAGGAAAGACTCGGTTTTTGGTGGGTAGGTGCGTGTTACGCATGTTTCTAAGTGGATTTACCTTTTCCTTGTTTGGGAGAATTATTTTGTGTTGGACTGAAAAAGAAGGTATAGTTTTGCAAATGTAAATCTCAACCAGTAATGCGGTCGCCTTTATATTTGAAAACAAGAAGTGGGTTTTGCCTTTATACTTGAAAACATTGAATGGGTTTTGGTTTTTCTCAACTATCTTCCCTGCCTGCCTTGAATTGATTTTCTCACATGGAACTGCACTTGAAAAGCTCATGCATAAATAATCTGTATTGGGTTTTGCAGTTGCGGTGTCAGGTGAGATCTCTGAGCCTTCATTAGAATGGCAATGGAAAACAAAATGACAGTTTTCTCTGAAAAAACAAGCACTGGCTGATACAAACTAAGAACACACACACACTGAAAAAGGGTGCTCAATTAAGCCATTTCTACTTTGGCTTTTGCAACATTTATTAGCTCCAATTGTGACATTTCCTTACACCCACTTGCCCAAAGTAAAGCATTAAGCTCTGTAAGTGTGTGTAGGAGAAGCACACAAGTGCTTTTGTATTTACTCCTTCCTTGTTTTGGTAGTGTTAGGCTGTTTTACACATGGGGGCCTTGTGCTTCAAACCCAAAAGCACAACTTATATTGAGACTGTACTTTGCTGCATGCCAAAATGGGCTCGGTAGCAGCCACCATAACCACCTTTTATGGCAATCTGTGCAAGGCAATCCAAGTTCATAGAAGGTGATCATCTTCTTCATATAAATTGACTTGACTTGATGAATTATTGATCATCACTTTATGTCTTCATCAATCATAATTAGAGCCTTATTGCTAACGCTTTCACTTCAAGCATTAAATTTGTTTGAAGCGAATCTACATTTAGACACACTGGGAATCATTTAGCCTACTCTACTCTAATTAAATTTAGTGGGCCGATGAAGAAGACTATATCGTGATCATTTTCGGCTCATTTGATAACGTGTTTAAGAATATAATTAGAGAGAGAGAGAGAGAGAGAGAGAGAGAGAGAGAGAAACTAGCTTTCTCATCAATTTTCCAGGAATATATATATATATATATATATATGCAGATATATTATAGTGCTGCCGCCCCACATCCATTGCAATTATATATGACACAACCTATCACTTCTTCTCTACCACAATCTAATACATACACGTTGAGTTAGAATGATAAATGACTCCTTAAATCAGTCTTGTTAAAAGATAACTGCCTTTTCTTACATCCCCTTATTTTAATATATTTTATTTATTTATTTATTTATTTAAATCAGAGCTACCACCACAACATGATGCCTATCATATTTAATTTGTAATTTCAAAAACTAAATAATTATAGTTGTGGAATGTTTATTATTCTTCTTGTTTGGCTTCTACTTTAGCCTACAGACACGTCCATAAATAGCCTACTCCTCCATATCAGATTCTTGTGGGTCTAAATCTGTGGTCATCAAAATTGTACTGAATAAAATATTAAAACAAGGAATTGTTTTACTTAATAATGATCCTCTCTTGATTATTTTATTAATTACCTTGCTTCTATTTGACCATCACTGAGGGGTAAGAATAAAATTTATGAACATATTCTATGGTAAAGTGTCATATCACTTGAGCTGCATGCCTCTCCGGATAAGTTTAATTGTATTCGTCGCTACTTGGAGACACTTACAAGCTTGTAGTATTATTAGCCAACATGGATTGCTTTATCAAATCCAAGTTCATTGTCAAACAAATCCAATCCAATTAAGAAAATGGGCAAGTTTGTCAACCATAAAATATTGAAAAGATGCGTCTGTGAATGTAAAGGAGCCACGTACAATCCGAACATAACCAATTGAAATTGTTGCATGCATGGTAATGTCATCACTACAATCACATCCCAAAAGTTAGGCAGCGCCATGAAAATAGTCAATCCTTTGCTTCAAATGAAAGTGCAGATTCATGGAGGAGGAGGATCTTCATCTTCCTATCTCAATCCAATTACTGGGCTGGCTGGTCTTCATCGACCTCCTGACCTTTGCCTAACCCAATTCCTATATTCTCCATCAGCTGGCTTATGGACCAACCACTCCATGCCGCGTGCCTGTTTCTCTTCATCACCTCATGTTGGAACAAAGGAAACAGGACCCACATAGGCCGGCGTCAACCCTTCACCTTTCTTAATGAAATTTGGCGCAAACCCTAAGTTATACCGTATTACCTTATAAGTTATAACATGGTTTGGCCAGTGATCAGGTGTGGCAGCACTGCTCATTCCTTCCATCTTCACACATACGTGGACGTCGCTTATGGGCTCTTTTTTGAGGGTACCCAGATGATTAAAATTCCTAAGACAACCTAACATCACAGGTGTCCAGTCCTAACTGGAATGATGGAATTCTTTCCTGAAAAAGAAAGATCAGTCTCCTTCTAATTGTAGCCAAAGTGTCGAGCGTGACTCGCATGCATTCCATATAGAGATGATGACCCAATTTTTTTTCATTCACTTTTCGAAATAATTCTTAATATGCAAATTTGGTTGGTCAATTGCAAACTTCTTTTCAGGCCCGTTGTAATGAGCCCACATTAAAAAGATATATAGGCCACTTTTGAAGTTGATTTTAATTGGCCAGTTAGTTTTAGGTAGAAAGATTGGAAAACAAAAACAATAATTGTCATGGAATTTTGGCTGATTTGATTTGTGCCTCATAATTCAAAAAAATTGACCTAGCTAGCGGAAAATTAAAATATGATCGTAAAGAAATTAATAAATTAATTCGTGAAATACTAACTCCGAAAGAGATTCCAAGTTCACATTTCTCACGCTCATTGCTCAAAAATAAAATAATACTGAATCTTATTAACTTGCTAGTGTAAGATTGTATTTAATTTAACATCCATGCATGACTTGCAAAAGCATTGTTGTGATTAAAAATAGGCCCCTAGAAATGAATTGAAGTCAAATGGGGACTCAAAAAGTAGCATTCAACCATAAAGAAAAAAAAACCAACAAACGTTACATGTTGAAATTACACTATTATTGTTAATGGAGAGGACAAATTAGCTTAGATACATTAACAAATTCATTCCAAACTTTCTTTCACCTAACCACTAACCACTTAATGGCTTTAATCACTCACTACGCACATTTACATGCACCGCCCTTGCAACTTTGATTAATTAGTTTGGTCAAATGACACATTATATATATACTTTGATTAATAAGAAATTTACTGTATATGAGTTAATATGAGCACTGCCGTGTTTAAGTGTTAAAGACTTTTTTATTTACTTTCTTTTTCTTTTTCCATAACTTAATTCGAGCTTAATACGAAATTAATGAGTTAAGATGAATAATAATAAACAAATGGGATTTTCAGGCATGGTCTTA